AATTCGAGCAGCTCGAATTCCCCCTTCTTTAACTGCCACCGCAGACCCACCTCCAAACCCTAAACCCTAAACCCTAAACCCTAAACCCTAAACCCTCACTCCTGGGCCTGCTTTCGGGCTTTCAGCCACATTTCGGTAAATTCGAGCAGCTCGAATTCCCCCTTCTTTAACTGCCACCGCAGACCCACCTCCAAACCCCAAACCCTAAACCCTAAACCCTAAACCCTAAACCCTAAACCCTAAACCCTAAACCCTCACTCCTGGGCCTGCTTTCGGGCTTTCAGCCACATTTCGGTAAATTCGAGCAGCTCGAATTCCCCCTTCTTTAACTGCCACAAGAGCCACATCAGGAAATCCATCTCCGTCAACATCTCCAACCTGAAAAAGAGAAAAAACAAAAAATAAAAAAGAAATAAAGAATAAAAGAATAAAAGAACTAAAAAGAGTAAAAGTCAAAAGGAGAAGGAAAAAAGAATTAAAAAGAAAGGAGAAAGAAGTACAACTAAAAAGGAAAAATAGAATTAAAAGGAGGAACAAAAAAGAATGAAAAAGGAAAAATAAAAAGATAAAAAAGGTTTCAAAAACTTTAAATTATGAAATGAAAATTTTACCGTGAGAGTCGGGGGTTTTAAACTGTCTCCGTAAAAATGAATTGAAGAGTCCAAATCCAAAAAGGAGACTGTTGCATTTTCTTCGCCATCTGAAAAAAAAATAAAAAAAGAAAAAAAAAGATTAAGATGACAAAAAGGAGCTCAAAATGGACAAAAAGGAGATTAAAATGAGACAAAAAGGAGACTAAAATGTGAGAGAATAAAGGGAATTGAAAAGAAAGAAAAAGGAGATTCACAAATGCAAAAAAAAGAAACAAAAATGAGACAGAAATGCCTGTACACTTCAACTCTCCGGAGTCGGAAGTGTCTGTACACCCGAAGTGTCTGTACACTCCAGCTGTCTGTACACTCCAGCTGTCTGTACCCTTCAGTTGTCTGTACAGCTGCAGTGTCTGTGCAGCTGAGGAGTCTGTACACTTGAGGTGTCTGTACACTTCAGCTGTCTGTACCCTTCTGGTGTCTGTACACCTGAAGCGTCTGTACACTTCAGCTGTCAGACACCTGCGGTGTCTGTACACCTGAAGTGTCTGTACACCCGAGGTGTCTGTACACTCGAGGTGTCTGTGCAGCTGAAGTGTCTGTACACTCCAGGTGTCTGTCTGTACACTCGAGGTGTCTGTACACTGGAGGTGTCTGTACACTCCAGGTGTCTGTACAATTGAGGTGTCTGTACACCGGAGGTGTCTGTCCACCGGAGGTGTCTGTCCACTCGAGGTGTCTGTACACTCCAGGTGTCTGTACACTGGAGCTGTCTGTCCACTCGAGGTGTCTGTACACTCGAAGTGTCTGTACACCCGAAGTGTCTGTACACCCGAGGTGTCTGTACACTCGAGGTGTCTGTCCACTCGAGGTGTCTGTCCACTCGAGGTGTCTGTCCACTCGAGGTGTCTGTACACTCGAGGTGTCTGTCCGCTGGAGGTGTCTGTACACTTGAGGTGTCTGTACACTTGAGGTGTCTGTACACCTGAGGTGTCTGTACACTGGAGTTTGCGCGGGGTGTACGTACAGCTGGCGAGGCGGAAGTGGGCGTTGGGGTCGCAAAGCTCGAAAGGTCTTCGGCACTTTTCGACACTCCGCGAAGTCCACCAGAAAGACCCGCACAGCGGCGGCTGGCTGTTCGCTGCGCCCCAAACCCTAAACCCTAAACCCTAAACCCTAAACCCTAAACCCTAAACCCCAAACCCTAAACCCTGAACCCTAAACCCTGAACCCTAAACCCTAAGGGTCGCGCTAGAAAGGGGAGGGATTCGTCTGCTGCGAAGGTGAGCGCAGGTGCATGCGGGCATCGGACTGCATGTGGTGATCAAACCCTAAACCCTAAACCCTAAACCCTAAACCCTAAACCCTAGAACTTACGCAGTAAAACGAGAGAGTCATTCTTTATGCAAACGCCCTCTTCGTTCTTCTCACAAGACGGCACCAAGATATCCAGCGTCCCTGAACACAACCCTAAACCCTAAACCCTAAACCCTAAACCCTAAACCCTAAAAATTAAACCCTAAACCCTAAACCCTAACCCGTAGACTCGGAAGCCCTGCTTTGACGAAACACGGCCCGGTGACGCTCATTTCAAGACTGCATTCTCCCCAAGTCCCCAAACCCCAACCCTAAACCCCAACCCTAAACCCTAAACCCTAAACCCTAAACCCTAAACCCTACCATCTGCGTCGAAGTCTGCCAAGACAAACTGGCCAGCCCCTGGGGGCAAAGGAATTGTTTGCTGCTGCCTTTTCCATTTTGCTGCAGTGCCATCAAATCGACTTAACCAAATTTCCAAAGACACAGAAGAAGTCCCCGGCAGCTGCACCATCTGCACACACACTCTCAGCAGCAGCAGCAGCAGCAGCTGCAGCAGCAGCAGCAGCAGCACCAACCGCTGCACCAGCAGCTGCAGTAACAGCTGCAGCAGCACACGCAACCGCTGCAGCTGCAGCAGAAGCTGCTGCAGCTGGAGATGCAGCAACAACTCCAGCGCCAGCTGCAACATCAGCTGCAACAGCAGCAACAGCTGCAGCAACAGCAGCAGCACTGCTGCTGCAGCAACAGCTGCAGCAACAGCAGCGCCGCAAACAGCTGCAACAACGGGACAAGTAGAAAAAATGGTAGCCCTAGCCATCACCCGTCCAGAGCTAGAGTAAAGCAGCAGCAGCAGCAGCAGCAGCGGCTGCAGCAGCAGCAGCTGCAGCAGCAGCAGCAGCCGCAGCAACAGCAGCCGAGGTCTGCAGACACCTACCAGCAGCAGATCGGCACGGCAGTCTCCGTCTATATCTGCAACGGCGCTGCTGTGTGGGTTCGTGATCAGAGCCTCTGCTTCTTGCTGCTGCTGCTGCTGCTGCTGCTGCTGCTGCTGCTGCTGCTGCTGCTGCTGCTGCTGCTGCTCTTGCTCCGGTACACTAGCAGCTGCTGACGTCTCAAAGACATCAGCAGCAGCAGCAAGACGCCGCGGCGCGAAGCCCTCCAACCCTTTGCTGGCGAGGTTTTCCCAGAAGAAGCGAAACTGCCCCTTGCTGCTGCTGCTGCTGCTGCTGCTGCTGGCTGCTGCTGCTGCTGCTGCTGCTGTCTGCACCAGCAAGTCTGGGTAGTGGTCGAAGGTGAGATCTGCTGCTAAAGGGTGAATTGAGGAAAGCCCGCAAGCAGCAAGATCTTCGTCTGTGAGGCTTGCTGCTGCAGCCTCGGCAGCAGCAGCAGCAGCAGCAGACAGCGGCGCCACAGCAGCAGCAGCAGCAGCACCAGCAGCACTA